TGTAGGAGGTATTTTATAAATACCTTTTTTTTAAAGAGTGCATTTTGTATAGAGCCTAGGCTCTAAACAATCAAATTAGAGCCTACCTTCAAATAATGTCGAGAAATGTGGTGTCACTACTGAAAATCTTTGTGATGGCCTTAAAATATATTTTCGTCATTATTTATAAAGTTTAAAGCTTCAAAAATTGTGTAGATCGACGATACAATGAAAACTTGAAAATCTTGAAAATTGGCGATCCAAAAATGCATTACAAAATACATTACTTTCAAAACTTGAAATCTATTTTTTTCTCATGTCCATGCATTTTGGTGTCGAGATGATCAATTTGATGATATTTGGGCATCAAAACAATCTTTTCTAGTGAAATTTCTTACGTAGGTTCTAATTTGATTGTTTAAAGTTTCGGCTCTATATAAACTTTTCCCTTTTTAATATGTCTTTAGGGTTTTAATAGATTTCAATCTCGTATTTCTGATTCAATGGCCAAAAATGATTGTGACTGTCTTACAACAATAATAAATAATAATTATGCAAAAACATGTGATGAGACCATTTACTATTTGTTACAAGGTGGTTAAAATTAATCTTGACCATTGGATGTGAAATTGAATGGTTGTATTTATTTAATTGTCCAAGCTCAAAATTCAAAAGAAATTTTTTCGAAATATGTGACATAGCGACCCATCAAATTTCATATCAAAAGGTTATAAGTAATGGTGACGTATAAAAGGTTAGTGATCTCGTTGTATGCAATCCATAGTATTACATATCGCAGTCCTGCAAAATAGTGTCGCTTTCAAGAGCAGTTTTTTTTTTCTTTCCTGAAGTGTATTTGATGTGTTTGTTTGGACAATTTGTATAATATTTTCTGTTCTTTGATCATTCTTCTGAAAATTTGTAGGACCTCAAGTTTTTCTGAAAATAGTTCTTCTGAAAATAGCGTACACATCCTTTTGTTTCTCAAAAATGGGGAAGAGCGTATCCTGCAGAGTTTGATGAGAGCTGATCTCTCTCTCTGAAAACATTATTCAAATATCAAATCACACAATTATTTCTCAAAATGTTACTGTAATTCAAAGTCCAACCACTTTACAATCAACAAAAGAAATGCCGGAATCTTGCCAAAACTCAACACCGATCAGAAAAGAGTCCAAAATCATTCATTCTGACCATGATATCTCCGAACGCTTCTCTCAATCGGCCGAAGAATCTCTCCCTGATATCATGAGGAGCGCGGTAAAGATTTTTTGCAAATCCTCAACCTCTTCGATTTCCTCCTCCAAGATCGGCTCCAACTTAATCTGAAGAGAGTGGCAAAATTTGACAGGAGTGATAATGGGCGATGGAGCAGTTTCATTCCATAGCTCAAGCTTCATTACTACCTTCGACATTCTCTCTCTCTAGACCAAACCAGACTTCAAAGAACAAACGGTAGAGAGAGAAAGAGAGAGAGGAGGAACGAATTTGGAAGATGGCGGAGGAGCACGGTTTACGTGGTTTATGTAGTGGGCTTATGTGCAAATCGTGCATGTGGAGCACGCGAGACCACTGGAAAAGGTCTATGGAAAAAGCGTGCGCCTTTTAATTTGGTGGAGGCGGTGCTGACAGGAAGGCGGTAATGGTGGTGGAGATGCAGCAATATTGACCGTCCGTTCTCAACAAGTGGCACCTCTATTTGGACCGGAATTTCCATAATCGGGAATTATGAGGCACAACCGTTTTTGAGGGATGGTGTGTGGTGTCGTTTGGAAAACATCTGTACCGACGAGATTAAACTTAAACTTTAACCGGATTATGGATAAGCCATTTAGGCATGCTGCCCTCCAATACTCTATAAATCACAATCCCAACCTTTTTGTATTTGCAAACACACCACAAAGTAAAATAATAGGTTTTTTTGTTTTTGGAAAATTTCATATAGAATCTTAATTTCTCGTATTATTTCAAGGTAGTATTTCTGTTTTTTTTCAAGCAATATAAATATACCCCTAAATATTTCACCATACCCCCCTCATCTCTTATCTCCCTCTTTTATTGACTTTGATCAAAAAAATTAACCCCAAAAAATATTTTATATTATTTCAACCTAGAAACCTAAAAACTTTTTAATGGGTGGAAAGGGTAAAAAAGGATTAAATTTTTTTTTGGGTTAGAATGGTATAAAAAGATTTATTGAGGCTAATTTTTATGGTAAAAAATCAATTAAAAAGGGAGATAAGAGATGAGAGGGTGTGGTGAAATATTTAGGGATTTCCTTATACTGCTTGAAAGAAAAATGAAAAGAAGATCTACCATGAAATAATATGAAGAATTAGGGTTCTATATGAAATTTTCCCTTTTTTTTTTAACACCAAAATACCTCTTTTTAAGTCACGGTTTCCACTTTTTCTCTTTGAGATTATCTAGTACAACATGTGCTAGACTTGCACAACTTGATATATAGCCGATCCAGCAAATTCGGCGTAGGGATAGCAACAGGTCAGGGTTGGCTGAACCCAAATCCGAATCGTATTCGGGTCTAGGTTTTGGACCTAGCCCAATCTTTTGGGCCAAAATTTGGACCAATGGATCGAAGGTCGGGTCTGCCCGTCAAGTTCCAGGTCTGATCGGGTCCATTGCCACCCTATGACTATAAACTTTATTTTCTTTCTTTTTTTCCTTTTGTTACCCTTTTTTTACCATTATATACCCATATTATCAGCAACATTTACAATATTGCACAACATTTATGAATGCCCACATAATAATTGGAAATTCCTAAGAAACGAACGTATTGCCAACATTGATGCATACTCACATACCCACATTATTCGGATTAGGTCTGGCCAGACCTTGACCCGAATAGTATTTGGGTCTAGGTTTTGGACCATACCCTAACCCGGTCGAGTTTACCCTTCAGGTCCCGGGTCCAGTCGGGTCCATTGCCACCCCTAATTTGGCAAAACTTGAATATACTACTAGCCCAACACATTTTTTGTATCGGACTGGCTCTTTATTCAAGTTGTGCTCGTCCGACACATTTTTGTGCCAGACCGACACATGTTGGCAGTCACGTTTTGGAATCATGGGTTAAATTGTGCCAAACTAACGCATGTTGGGGGGTCATGCTTTGGAATTATGAATTAAAACGGGGGGCATTTTGGTTCAATTTTTTCTTAATTTGAGGATGATTGCAAAGAAAAAATAAAATATTGGAGAATGACGCCCAAATTACGGGGTTTTTATAATTTTTCATTTTCTTTTAGTGTGGTAAACAATCAAAGTAAGGCACGCCTCTAAATTTTGTCATGAGATGCAATTTTGATGTAAAAAAATCGTAGGATGGTGTGAGAACATATTTTTATCACTAATTATAAAATTTTGAGCTAAAAGATTTCCTCCTCCCTGCGGAGGATACTATCCATTTCCTCCCTTAGGCAAACATATATTCTCAATACCTTTTGGAAGCAAAAATTTGGGAATATAACCTTTATAATCTATAGAAAATTCTCGGCAAAAAAGATTGCGAAATAAACTCTCTATATACTAGAAAAAACTTATGCCTCAAGATTGAATACCAACCATCCAATTTTTGAAGGGCTAGATCTAAGTGTCACAAAACTCAAAATTCATTTTTTCTTTTTCTTTCAAAAATAACTATCTAGTAACTATTATGTATTACCCAAATTTTAAACTGGAAAAATTCTTCTAAGTAGGTATTTTAAGTGAGGGAGGAGATGGACAGTATCCTCCAAGGGAGCATAGTATATGTGCTCAAATTTTAAACTCCAAAAATAGTTCATATATATAAAGGGAAAGGTTTCTATACTTTCCCTGCATCATAGAAGATCTTTGCTTCCCCTACCATCCAACCGTTCAATTTTGATCAAGAGAGCTATTCACCGTTTGATCTTAGATCTGACATTTCAAAGTATTTTATTTTTATTTTTTGCATACAAATTATATGAGTATGAAATTTGGTATGTGTCATCTTCTCATTGTAGAGTACTTATGAAAAATATTAAAAATAACTTTTTGATAAAATATAATGACCAAAATACCCCTTGAAGCTTTCAAGGGTATTTTGATCATTTTATTTTATTGAAAATATTTTTTTTTATATTTGTCACTAGTGCAAATTTAATAGAAGATTGGAGTCCAAAATTTGGTGTTAAAATAGTTTATAGACAAAAAATTAAAAAACAAATAATGTAGAAACGTGACATTGTGATCGGGGCAATCTTAGCCCTCCATTCAGAATTGAGGGTTGGATAAGGGAAAGTATATAAGTTTTATATTATATGGGAAGCATAGAAAGCTTGTCCATATATATATATATATATATATATAAAATAAAAAGCTGGATAGCCTATTATATATAGTAATGATACTATAACGTACCTTACTAGACCTATGTAGAGTAGATCTACAAGATCACTA